TCCCTTCTCCAGGGGATCCCCCCAACCCAGGATCAAACCCAGGTCTCCTGCACTGCAGGTGGATTCTTTAACAGCTGAGGCACAAGGGAAGCCGGACAGGCACATAAGCTGCCCTCTATAAATCTTGGCTCTTGTTAAATTCCCTCTCTCAGGTCTTTAAATCTAATATTCTCCTATTCTGTTGAAGCGGGGGGGTGGGGGGCAGGGTGGGAGGAGACATAGGCTAACATTTTAACAGGAGAGCTTTAAGATTAAACCCAGAGAATTTCCCGACAGGAAGGCCTGTAAAACACCCATAAAAGCTGTTAAAGAAGATGATAGAATCCTGGATGAAATTAGGATCAGAGCAGATTCCTACATGTCTGGGACAGGTTGGACAGAGCCCTTTCTTGAAGCGGAGGACAAATCCAAATCTCAAGACAGGTCAGTTCTTCTCTAGGTGGCCCCCGGCTTCCTCCCCTGCCCCCAAGGAGATGTGAAGGGGAGCCTTTTCATTTCAATAGGCTGGAGCCCAGGTTAGCATGACCAGGGCCACCAGCAGAAAGAACCCAGAGGACAAGCACTGAAAAAGGAGGCTTGAAGGGTCACTGCGTGGCCAGGATTACAATGTAATGCCAGGCCTCGGGTCAGTAATGGGGAGGTATTAGTCATCCCTTCAGACCTCGGCTCCATTATTTTTGCCGGAAATGTGAGAATAGCTCTCACTAATAACGTGTGGAATCACTTCCAACTATTTGCCTTTCAAGTCAGCCTCCTCAGGTCGGGTGACATATCTCGTTTAACAGGGGGTGCCATTAGAGAGAAGATTTAACGTGCGGCTAAAAGCATTTGTAGCGGGAGCTGTGGGTGGGTTCCTTTTTAAGCTTCTGTGGCTGGTAACTTGTGTCTCTTCCCTCCGTGCTGTTGGGTTTTGTTACCGGAGCCTTTTTCTTTTCTGAGGGAGGTTGGTCATTAACCCTCCCCTGCCCAGAGCGTCCCCTGGCATGGCCAGGGCAGGTTGAGAGCAGAATTAGAAAGCTTGCCCACCATCAGCAGAGCCTGCAGGAGGCTCCTAGGGCGGGCAGGATTACTCCAAGCATCTCTCCATCTTTATGCACCTACCCCTCATCCTGTTTGAATGACCTGGTGTCTCCTTACCCTGACCTCTTGCAGAAATATCACAGCTTTGCAAACAGAGCCACAAATGCACTGGCCCATGGAATTTGTATATCTACCCACAAAATGAATCATGCCTTTTGCCATGCACTGACGGGCCCAAAAGTCATGCCAAGAACTGCAGGAAGGAAGGGGTGAGACTCTAGAAGAGGAACTTGTCACTTGATTGAACTTTCTCTTTTTTACTGAGACTTAAATTTTTTTTTTCCATGAAGGTAAGGAGCCTTTCAGACCCTGCCTGAGCTTCTTAAATCTTTGCCTCCCTTCCCAACTCCTGGAGTCCTGACCTCTTGAGCCTCAGATTCTCCATCGGAAAGATGGGAACAGTAACTGCCACCTATCAAAATAGAGGCTGTAATTAAAAACCTTGAGCACAGAGCTAAACCTCTATCAGTTATATCTCTTTTGGCGACAGGTTACAAAGGATCAAATTCCCAACCAAAGTGCCTAAACAAAGAGGGAATGTATTGGGTGGTGTACCTGACAAGCCCAGAGCTGAGCCTGGCTTCAGATACACAGAGGGGCACTTGGGGGCTGTCCCCAGGACAGAGTTTCTCACTCAATAGTCCCTTCCTCTGTCCTCGTTCCATGTCATGCAAGACCTGGTGGCAGCAAGATGGCAGCAGCTGCTTCAGAATGGCACCCTCAGGATCCAAAGCCCAACAGAGCAGGAGCTGTTCTTCCCCCCAAGGACCCACCTGAGTCCTGAGCGGGACACACGTCGTGTGAGTTGAGTCATTCCTGAGCCAATCACCATGCCCTTGGACTTGGAATGTGATCACCGGTAAACTCCACCTGGAGGGGAAGAATGGGGGTGGGAGGGAGCCCTACCTATGTCAAAGCACTAGGAGTTGCATAAAAGATGTTTTCCCAAAGGAAATTTATATCATTACCAAAAAAAAAAAAAAAAAGAAGAAGCAGGCAGGGAGGACATGAGGGGTCCAAATATAGAATTATTCACTGCAAATAATAATTTTCCATCCTGCTCTGTGTGCAAGAAAAGGATTATTTGATAGAAATGTGTACTAAAGGAGAGCTCCATGAGGTTCTCCCCCTCCCCCTGAAAAAAAAATTATTCAGCAAAGAATCTCCTTCTCCATATACTAGTAATATATTGATTGCACCCTTCATGGCACTTTTCTCAATCTGCCTTCTATTCTTACTCCAAGCGTCTATCTGCTCCATCGCAACAGAGCCTCTCGAGATAAAGGATTAGGTCTTATTCACCTCCATACTCCTCACAGCGCCAAGAGCATAAGGGCACATCCACTCACATAGGAGACGATTCCAGACCCACACTGGCTCCCAGTGTCTGGCTCACTTCTCTTCTTTCCCCTCTCCGATTATTGCCTCTGTGTGGGGGGAGACTCATAGAGACGAAAGGCCCCAATGAACTCAAGGCAAAATGCACCCTGAAGCCCCCTCTTCTGCTAGAAGGTGCTTCTACTACAGTTTCTCTCATACTGTAGCTCAGATGGTTTTCTAGATTCCCCACTACAGAGAAAACTCTCTGGGAGCAGACAGGATCTTATCTTTCCATTTTCTCTATCCTTGGTACCTGGAACAACATCCGGCACAAAGAAACCGCCCTGGTAAGTGGTGGAGCTACCCCAGATCTCACTCACCATCACCCCCAGAATCTCAAGAAGGGCTTCATGGCCAGAGCTACAGAAAAGGCAGGTACCCGTCCAGGTGAGGGGTTACAGAGCTGGAGGAACAAGCAAACCACGGAAACAAAATAGGCAGTAGGGCTCACTGTCATTCCTGCTATCTGTCCAGCCAGAGCAGACCCAGAGGGTGCAAGGAGTCCAACAGGCTACAGGACGTAAACTGAGCTAATAGGAAAGTGGGTGAGGTGGGGGGGGTGTGACTTGATTCGTGATCAGGTTGGGATCCATGTGGAAGGGGGAGGCCAAATGATTAGTGAGAGCTGGCAGTAGAAACCCTCAAAGGCAGATGGATAACACAGCTATGGGTTTGGGTGGTCATCCTGGTCAGAACAGGACCCCAGTGGCGTCAGGAAGCCGAGAGGAACAGGCTCAGCTCCCTGGGATGGGGGTGGCAAAGGGTCAGAGAGGAGGTCAGTCCCAGCACCTGTCGGGTGAGACTGAAGCTCTGGGGCAGGAGAGCTGAGAGGGAAAGTAAACAGAATCCCAGTGGCATAAATCAGACACTTTAGTAACAATCAAGGGAAGGGTGTTTGTTCCCCAGTGAACTGGATCCTGGGCCTGTGGGCAGACATCTGAGCACAGCAGTGCCCCTGCCGGTAAGATGGAGATGCTGGTACCTGGCCCCCACTCCCCCCCCCACCCCAAGCCCAGTTAAGGCATGATGCACCTTAGGAGAAGGCCTGGGTGACTGCGCCCTGCGGTGCTGGGGAAGGCAGGACTGACAGGCTGGCCCGTGTCAGAAAGGCTTCCTGGCAGACTCCCAGGCTGAGTGTGTGTCCAGGGCCAGGGACTGAGCCAGTGCCAGCAGCATCTGACCTCACGGATCCCCCTAGTCGACAAGGAGCAAAAACAGGAGGCTCCAGAGGCTCCCTTGGCTTTGGAGAAAGCTCTGCAAACAAAACTCAGTTTTTAGGGGTTAATCCGCAGCCCCAGGAGGAGGTGGGGGCCTCCTCTGCAGGGCAGAGCCGGCAAGTGGGCTGAAACTAAAGGAAAAGCATGGGCTGCCGGCCTGAGATTAGCCTGGCAGCAGCTCCAAAGACCGACCCTTCAATCGCCGGGCGTGTCTGAGCCCTCAAACGCGCCGGCCGCCTCCCACCAGCCCAGCTAATGGGGCTGAGCTGCGGAGGCCACCACCTCTGTTTCCCAGTTGATGTTGATGGTTTGCTGCTCTGAATCTCAGTTCCCCAGCAACCACTGGACCCCGGACTCCACCTAGTCTATGGGGCTGACCCCTTGCATGTTTTCTCAGCACCCACCATGGGCACAGCATCCTACCTCCTCATTCCACTGCCTCCCGCCACTCTGACCAGCCCCAGGGTGAAGGGGTGGGGCGCCAGGCTCAGTCAGCCCTTTGTCCAGCCAGTGATTTGGGCTATAGATTCTACACATGGTGGCGGTGCCGTGAAGTAGGGTGCCCAGTGGTGAGAGGAGAGACAAGACAGAGAGACAAGACACGGTCTACCCTTTCTCCTAAGCCCTGAGGCCCTGTGCGTGGGTGCTAAGTGGCTTCAGCCGTGCACGATCTTTGTGACCCTGTGCAGGGTAGCCTGCCAGGCTCCTCTGTCCATAGGATTCTCCAGGCAAAAATACTGCAGTCTGTCTCTACCTGCTTGGGAACACAGGGAGCACGGAATCTGAGCAGTTCCCGCCCCATTTGAGAGACCACACACACACACACACACACACACAGCCAACACACACACACACACACACACAGCCAACACACACACACACACACACACACACACACACACAGCCAAAAGTCCCAAGGCAGGGATGGAAACTGAGATTGAAATTTACCATTTGCTCAAGCACAGGACCAAGCTCTGGTTTCTGTGGGTGCCCGATTTCTAAAAGGAAGGGGGTTCTCCTTTGACAGGCCGCACGGCCCCCATCCCTCGACACCCACCGCCACGCCAGCCCTTGCCTGGTGGGTCCCTTGTGAGGACCCCCAGCACGTCCCGCAAAGGCCCGGAGCAGCCCTGGGAGGAGGTGTGGGCAGGAAAGGTGGGCAGCGAGGAGGGGCTGCCTGGGCGCCGCTGTCCCCGAGGACCTCCCCGAAGGAGGGAGAGAAGCGCCGCAGAGGGAAAGGGGAGACGGGCGCCGGCGCGAACCGGGCGAGCAGCCGCGGCGGGTCTGTTCCTCTCGAACCGGCAGGCGCCTCCGCCGGCGCTTCTAATCACCGACCGCGGCTCGGGCAGCTCTCCGCGCCCCGCAAGCAGTGCCGGGGACCTTGGTCAGCTCGCGGACACTGACGGCTCTCGGACAGGCGTGCGGGCCCGTCCGCCGGCTCCCGGGGCAGCTCCTGCCGCGGCCGCGGTCCCCGGCTGCCTCTTGTTGTAGTGAGCGCCCGGCGGACGCCGCATCCGTCCCGGCGCCGCGACCGGGGAGGCGCGCGGAGAGCCCCTTGCCACCCCGCGCGCCCAGCCCGCCCGCTCCCTTCACCCGCCTTCTGTCCCCGCCTCCGCTCTGGGAAGGGGAGCCCCTTGCGATCTCAGGCCTCCCCTCGGGGTCTGCGCCCCATCCTGCCGTCACACATACAGATCGGCTCCTGGGAGGAGCAGGGAGCGGCCGCAGCAGCGAGTCGAAGCCCAAAGAGCAGGTGGGAAGCGAGCTGGGGAAAGGGGCACGGGAAACCGGAGGGAGGTCCCTCGGCATCCTCTGGAGGGGACAGGAACTAGCTCCCGCGTCTAGTCCGGCATCCCCATCTGCTCCCGGTCGCTGAAAAGACAGCCGATTATCGGCAGCCCAGAACGGAAGGCCGCTCTCCTCTCTCCCGGCTCCCAGCTCGCTAACCTTGTTGGACCCCCTGCGTCCTGCTCCTCCCCTTGGCTATGGGCAGCTATGGCCTCTTGTGCCCCAAATTCCGAAGGCTGGCGTCCGTGCTCAGAGTTCCCAGGGGGTGCAGATCAGTGATGTCCCGCACGGTTCTTGACAAGGAGAGACAGATGCTTTCTCAAGCTTGTGTTAAGCACAGCTTCTACCTAAACGCCTCTTTCCACCTTCCCACAAGATTGCCTGGCCTCAGCTGCTCTGAAGAAATAAAGGCACCACTGCGATATTAGCCAGGTCTCCCCCCTCTTGAGGAAGGCCCTGGGGCACCCATCTTTAAGGACACTACCTTATGCTTGCAGTCGGTCCATCCCACCCCAGCAGCTCCCCGGCCTGGAGGACTTACCTGGTCACTGCAGTCCGCAGGGACTCCCCTCACCTGCGCACTGAGGGTCAGCTGCACCCAAGGCCATGCTTGCTTGGAGAACAAGAACTCCTAGTTCTCCAGGAGTTTCAAGTGCCTGTGTTTGACTCCCCTGGGGAAAGATAAGGTCCTCACAAGCAGTTACTACTGCTTTGCTTGTTTTGATTCCCATGAAGCTGAACTTAGATTGATGTAGCGTAAAGTGAAAGTGAAAGTAAAAGTCGCTCAGTAGTGTCCAACTTTTTGCGGCCCCATGAACTGTAGCCAGCACCAGGTTTCTCTGTCCATGGGATTTCCCAGGCAAGAGTACCGGAGTGGGTTGCCATTTCCTTCTCCAGGGAATCTTCCCAGCCCAGGGATCGAACCCAGGTCTCCTGCCTTGCAGGCAGACGCTTTACCCTCTGAGCCACCAGAGAAGCTTAAACACTTCCCTGATGTAGCATAAGCACTCAATAAATTCCCATGGACTTGGCTAATAGATGGACAGACTTGCAAGGGGGGCACTGTCCCACCGAGAGAAAAAGATGACCTTACTCCTCTCTTCCCTGCCAGGAGTAAACTAAGGTCATGTGTCCTCGGGCTGTCTCAACAATCAGCAGAGCCCAGCCCTCCCCTTGTCCCTGTGCCTCCAGCCACCTTGGCCCTCTGGATCCCCGTGGGTTTAGAGAGGCCGATGCTTGTGGCTCTTACCAACATCAATTTGCAGTCACCAGGATACAACTTCACCCTATGCTGCGTTCATAAATTAATCTCCTGGGATTAGATTCTGTGTTTTAGTAACACTCCTGAGGCATTGTATTTACACGTTAATAATAAAAGAAAAGAGTGAGACAAGTTCTGACAACTTTCAATAACATTCAGAAATAAAGTGTGAGGCGAGGAAGTGTCCAAAGTTAATTAAGACCATTTGGTGGTGACGGGGGTGGGAGGCGGTGCCTGCCGCTCTCTGACAGGTGCTATTTCTGAAACCCAGTTTCCCTGTCTGCAGTGTACCTGATGCCTGCAGAAAAGGAGGTGCTGAAATAAACAGAACTGCTGGCGTGAGCTGGGACTTGCTCTTGTGTGGTCTACAGTGCTGTGGACACTTGGCTGGAATTTGTGGAGGGTCCCTAGGGAAAAAGGGAGCGCTTTGGCCCTTTCCTGTGGTTAGCAGATGGTATGTCCAGACTGTTCACATCTGCTCCGTGTAAGTGGAGCCCTAGAGGAAGTTAAGGGGTGCCCTATTCCTTGGAGAAGGGCTGACAGGTCACTTTCCCACTTTTAGTTATGAGAGCCTTCCAGACACTGACCTAACTAGAACATCATCCCAGAACGGGAGGGGAAATGGCTCTAGTACCCAAAAAGAGAGACTCCTAAAATTGGGTATGGAGTGAAGCTGGACGTTCCTGCCTAGTGACAAGTATGATTTACTGCACAAATGCTTGTATTTTAAGCCTGCATGGGTGCATCAGTCACTCAGTCATGTCCGACTCTTTGCAACCCTATGGACTGTAGCCTGCCAGGCTCCCCTGTCCATGGGATTTTTCAGGCGAGAATACTGGAGTGGGTTGCCATTTTCCTCCTGCAGGGGATCATCCTGACCCAGAGATTGAACCCAAACCTCCTGTGTCTCCTGCAGGGCAGGCAAATTCTTTCCCTGCTGAGCCATCAGGGAAGTCTGCATACACTGTGCATTTTTGTTGTTGTTGCTGTTGAGGCGCTCAGTCATGTCCGACTCTTTGCAACCCCATGGACTGCAGCACGCCAGGCTTCCCTGTCTTTCACTATTTCCCAAGTTTGCTCAAACTCATGTTCATTGAGTTGATACCATCCAGCCATCTCATCCGCTGTGCATTTTTGTATTTTTTTCATTTCCCTTTTAGCGTCTTTCAGTTTTAGAATAGGTCCTTTTTAAAAAAATGCAGAGCCTTTCTCTCATAAAGGACTTAGAAGAGGAAATAGAATTCTCTTTGTTTCTTTCTTGAGCCCAAATGGACCACCGTGTGTTGGGCCTGACAGGGACAAAAGGGAGACGCTCAGAGAAATATTTCCGGTGCTACGTATGGGGCCCCTCCAGAGTGGATCTTCTCAGAGTTCTTTTCTTCACTTTCTCCACAGTGTTTTGTTCATGTAAGGGACGAATGAATTCCTTCCTATCTCAAGGGATTTCCTTTGATTTTTATTGGCAGTAGAAATGAAATTGGCAGCATCAAACTCTTCAGCTGTATCCCAAATGATATGTAATCCCAGCTCATCATTCTTCATCTTTGATGGCGTCTATCATCTAAAAGAGAAGGTGAAGGACAAATGGAAATGGGACTTTGGAAGAGAATGATCACCCAGGTTCCCATCACAGTCTGAGATTTCCAACTCGATTAAGATTTTCAGCAAGTGACCATAGTCTTGTTTTCTATTCTGGACTTCTTGCTCTTGACTTCACTAAAAGGCTTCACAATAGCCAGGCAGATCTCATCTGTCCTTTGAAACATGATGTTTCATGGGCAAGTATATTTCATAAGGAAAATGAGGGTTGGGTCTAGCCAGGTGCTTTCAATACACCTTCCATTCCAACCTTCTAACAAGGGAGAAAATTCAAAATAAAAAGAAATACCACCTGAGCAAAAGCCCTCACAAACAACAGACTCAGTTCCTCAACAGGGCCTCTCAGAAATTGACTCCTCTCTCAGATCTTATGTTTGCCTTGATTGCAGGCCTGTTTGTTCTCGATCACCAATGTTGCTGTGGCTAGGTTTCTCGAGGAAGGTAAGTGTTTGGGAAACACAGGGATTGGGCACAAAGAAAGATCCATCAGCTGAGCTATACCTGGAGGCTGTCTGCCCAGGGGACTGGCCAGAGGAGAAAACCTGTAAACTGTGTGGGAGTTACAACACAGGACTTTGCACCAACTAGTTCACTCATTCACTCCAAACAGCTCGTGACAAATGTCAGTATTCTGTGGCCCGCTATGGGGAGAGGTTTCTTAAAAGAGTTCAGGCAGTGCTACAGGTCCAAGGCTGTTATTTTAAGAGATGAGTGGAACACCACCAACAGATAGCTTCTGAGCAATCAATGCAGATACCATGGCCACATCTGTTTCTTGGGGACTAGCAAGGATGGAGATTCAGAAATAGAAACTGCCATGCTTCCAAGATCTGCTGTAAGATTTGTCCCAGGGAGCCCTAATTTCATGGCCACACTCACCCCCTACTCTGCCACCCTTCTCCAGTTTAGATCCCCTTAGAAACTCACTTCTTAGACATCAGAATAGTTATTCCAGCCGTCCTCCATCTTCAGCTATCCTTTACCTGGTCTACATGGCTTTCTAGGAAGAAAGGAAGTCAGGAATGATCCTACTGAATTCTAGGCTCCAGAATTTCAAGCATTTTTTAAGCCACTTCTATGAAACAGCCCTTGAGGACTCAGTGATTTTCTCATCATGTTCAATATGATGTAAACATTAAGCATGAAGGTCCGGAATAGACTATCTGGATTTGACTCTTGGTCAGAACACTTACTAGTTACGGGACCTTGGGCAGGAAGCTTAACCTCTCAGCTGTGTGTCAGTTTCCTTATCTGTAGAGTGTGGTGAATGATAGCCGACCTCCCAGAGGTATTGTGAGGTTATTGAGTTAATTAAATTAGTTGATCCACATAAATTGTTTAGAAGAGTGCCTGACATTATTATTAATAAGAATATGTTTAGTTTAATTCCTGCCAGCTGAGAAGGAGATTCTACATCCTGGTCTTCTCTTTTCTGGACTAGTTGACCCCAACTTTTTTTTAACCCATGCAACATTTCTCCCAGGCTAGTAAGGAATTGCTCCTCCACACAGAATTGATAAGGCCACTAGAATACCTGGCAACTAACCCGAAAGAGAGAGGAAACAGTGTTTATCATAATTTATAGGTTTATATTCGCAAAGCTCCTGATCTTATCCCCGTGAGCTTCTGCCATCTCCAGCCCTGCCTACCTAGAGATACTGAAAATATTCAACTGGCAGACTCAGACCTGCCCTGTCCCTAACCCTGTCTGGACCAAGCCCAGTTGTTTATTAGGGAACCAACTCCACCTGCAGTTGAGAGGAGATAACTGATCTCGTTTCATTAAGCCGGATACCCAGTGGTCCCAAAGCTAAACCCATGAGGCTTTTAAAGCCCAATGAGCTTCATCATTCCCGCTAGTGCTCACTTTGTCCTCCCAGCAAGCATGGCTGGATTCTGTCCACTTCTAAATTTACACTCTGATCCTCAGGTGGCTCAGTGGTAAAGAATCTGCAATGCAGGAATCAATCCCTGGGTAAGGAAGAGTCTCTGGAGAAGGAAATGGCTACCCACTCCAATATTCTTGCCTGGAAAAATCCCACGGACAGAGTAGCCTGGCAGGTTACAGTCCATGGGGTCGCAAGAGTCAGTCATAACTTAATGACTAAACAACAACA